GAGGCCTTCCGGTCCTCTGTCCTGCTGGCTGCCACTCAGAACAGACGCAGGTCTACACTGCAGGCCACTGAGGAGGCTCCAGGATGGTGGGATTCCGGGTGCATCCTGAGGCTGAGCCAAAGGTGCTGGTGGGCTGGGTGAGCCCAGGGGAGTCCAGACACAGGGCTGGAGCTGCAGGACAGCTGACCGTGTACTGGACAGGAAGAGGGGCTTGGGCCAAGTTTAGGGTAGGGGTCCTGGGGAATGTGCTGACAGAGTTGGTTCCTGAAGGGTGAGTCCTGTGGGGAGATGACCCCCCTGCAGAGGAGGGATGGAGCCCGAGGGTCCCAGCCTGCCTGAGCCGGTCTTTTCTTGAGAGCCACTGTCCCCTGGCCTGGGGGCAGCCGGGCAGCTGGCTAGTGTGCAGGGGCTGAGGTAGACAGACAGAGCGAGACTTCGCTCCTTGGCTGAAGTGTGTGCACATGTGTGAGCGCACCCATGTATTCGGGTGCATGCGAGCACCTACGTGCATGCACACCCATGGCACACGTGTGTGCTTGCACATGTGTGCATGCCGGTGTGACTGTTGAGAGCCATGTGGAGGCCGGCTGCAGCACTGGTCTGAGCCAAGCTCACGCTCCCTCCAGGCTGACCTCCTCCTCCCGAGGGCCCTGTGGTGGTGAGGTCTGCTGGAGGCCTCAGCCTGACGGTGCGCACAGGGACCAATCCTGGAGACTCGGGAGCTGCACACACCACCTGAGACGCCCGGGCCGCTGTGCTGTTGGTCTCCCAACAGTGCCCCATCTGTGCGAGCCCGTGGTCATGACTACCTGCAGGTCTGCAGTCCCTCCCACAGCCCGCGTGTCCAGCTGCTCACAGGATCTCCAGTTCCACCGACAGCCAGACACAGCTCCTCGAGCGGCACTGGCAGTGCAGAGCCCTGGGCGGGGCTCCAAAGAAGATCTTACAAATGTCTGCTCGGCAGCTGAGAAGCGGCTCCACGTCACGGAAGGCCAATCATCTGGTGTCACAGGGTGCCACTTCAGACCCAGGAGGGTGACTACGTAGGAAGAGGGCCATAGCAGGCGTTGGACGACTTGGAGACGCACCTGCTAGGGTGCTGACGGAAGCACAGACGTTCAGAAGGAAAGATAAGGACGTATTCTCTCTCCCATCGGGGGCACGGGGAGGCGGGCAGCCAGGTGGGCATGGCCAGGGAGCGGGCGTGTCCACGAAGAATAGGAGAGACCCTTGGTGCTGAGGCTGGACCTGCTGAGCTCCCACGGGCCAGACCTCCAGGGCCTGTCCCCACAGCAGCTCA